ATGAAGGTATAACTAGAAAAATACAGCTATATCAAGAATGTAAACAGAAATAAAAATGACAGGATTCAATACTCATCTTTCATTAATGACTTTAAATACTAATGGACTGAACTCCCTCAAAAGACACAAACTATGTGAATGGATTAAGAAACAAAAACCATCTTTTTGCTGTCTGCAAGAAACTCATCTCACTTTCAAGGACAGACACTATCTTAAAGTGAAGGATGGAAAAAAATATTCCGAGCAAATGGTACTAAGAAAAAAGAAGGCATAGCAATTCTAGTATCTGACAAAATAGACTTTAAACTAAAACTAATCAGAAGAGATAAAGTGAGGCACTTCATTCTGATCAAATGAACAATAAATCAAGAAGATACTACAATCATGAACATATATTTACCAAACTCTGGTGCACCCAACTTCATAAAAACAATACTACCAGACTTTAAGACCCACATTAATCCCAACTCATTAATACTAGGGGACTTCAATACCCCACTGTCTCCATTAGATAGGTCAACAGGGCAGAGAGTTAACAGAGAGACATCTGAATTAAACAATATCATATATCAAATGGATTTAACAGATATCTAACAAGTATTCAACCCAAACACCAAAGGACATACTTTCTACTCAGCACCCCATGGAACCTTCTCCAAAATCGACCATATACTGGAGCAGAAAACAAACCTCAACAAATGCAAAAATATTGAAATAATTCCATGCATTCTATCAGACTACAATGCAATAAAGCTTACAATCAACACCAGAAGAAGCCCTAATCACCACATGAACACATGGATATTTAACAACATACTCCGAAATGATGAATGGGTCAAAAGAGAAATTAAGAAAGAAATAAAAGTATTCCTGGAACTAAATGAAAAGGACAATACAACACATGCTGAAACCTGTCCTTAGAGGGAAGTTTATAGCTATAAGTACCTACATCAAAAAATCGGACAAAACACAAGAAAATGACTTACCGCTGCAACTCAAGACACTTGAAAAGCAACATCAAATTAAACCCAAACCCAGCAGACAAGAAGAAATAACAAAAATCAGGGCAGAAATTAATGAAATTGAAACAAAGAAAACAATACAAAGAATCAACAAATCTAC